GTGTTGTAAACAAATACTGAAATCTCCCTTGGCCTAGGTATGCTCCCACAGGACGCGAAGACACTTTCCAATGATCAGCTAAGAAGGGAAGTAAAGCCCACATCTTTTCTATCTTAGGTTTGTAAACCGTCCCACTAGCATAAGGGACTACTTCAGAAGGGTTAGGGAGAGGGTCATGAACCCTAGCAGCCCTTGGAGGGTCTTGACAAGTTGCCACCCCTTTTCCTTTCTCAACAGCTGATAATCTTCGATTCATGGTTGGAAGAAAGATAGCAGAAGAGTCAACACAGCACTGGAAACTGACCGTAAAAATCTCTTGAGAGGATTAGGCTAGAGTGTAAGTAAACCGCACCAGAATCCTTTGAGAGGATTAGACTAGATTATAATGAACCTTTGTAAAACTAAAATTTCCACTACCGTAGAAACCATAAACCAATTACAAATCCAAACTTAGCCAGAAATCTTGATAGCCAGAAATGAAGTGGCATGGGGTAAACCATGAGGTTTGGAAACCTTTGAACCTAATGAAAAGGCTCGAATCTGTTGTAAGGATTCGGATACTACCGATATTGTCCTTATATTTTCTTCTAACGCTTGTGACAAAGCCGCTTGGGCTTTTAGGCGAGTCACCAAGGACTCAAAGATCCTGGATTTACACTCGATCACAACTATTGAAGCATAAGTCGTCGATACACGGATGAACTTTGCTAAAAAAAAGATAACAATTATGGGCCAAACCACCTAATTGATCTACATGGGAGAGGCTTGATCGGAGAAGTTGATGAGGCCGAACCGTCAGAATGGGCGAGCTCCGGGACCACTGCAAGAGGTATGGCGGTTTTACATCCCGATGGTTGACCCATCGAGTTCTCCAACGCTAGCCTGGCCATCATGATTTCGAACCACCGCCAACGGGAGAGGCGGATTTATGTTCTTCTCAGGAGCTCAAGCAACGCAGGTCCATCGTCGAAGGGGACAAACAGATGCAATCTCGAGATGGGTTTAGCCAAAGACGAGGACGGAGTTTGGAGTAAGAGGAGCGAATCAAAGCCGAAGATTGACAGAACAGTCCGGAGGAGCCAGCGGTGATGACAGCGAAAACACCACCAGCAACGGGTCTGGCCAAGGGAGCAGATCTGGTGGTTCCGACATCGCAGGGGCCAACGAGAGAGGGGCGTGGTTCAACGGCGACAAGAGCTCGCCGAAAGATCTTCTTTGAGGAGGAGAGGTCGCGACTGTGGGAAAACTTCTCGCCGGAACAGAGCCACCATTCACGAGAATCTTCTGCACCCCCGGAGTTGTGTCGCAACAGTTTACAAAGAGAGGGGTTGAGATCCAATCCGAATCTTCACGTTGCTTTCGGATCTCGCCGGAGAGACGGCGATGATGCGGCACACCGGTGGGTTTCGTGAAAGAGGGTTTGCTCAGGGGGGAGACGGCGGCAGCGGAGATCGAGAGGCGGCGGTGGAGATCCATTTGCTGAAGACGCAGAGCCTCAACGGCGGTCTCGGGCCTCGTGCCCGAGAGCATTAACCAACGCTTTTTCAAATTTATGCTTTAGGTAGTAAAAGACTAGAAAATGGTAAATTGATGTTTTTAGGTATTTGAAAATTTATGGGAAATTTGTAAAATTATGACACGTTGAAGTTGATTATGTCCCGATACACATTTTTCATTTTGTGTCATTCTTCACCTCTACTATCCGTAAACAAATATAAATAATTAAAAATAAATGGTTTTTAAATTTTTTAAAAATAAGAAAATAACAAAAACGTAAAGAATAGTATTTTCATATATCGAAATTTTTTTTACTTAAAAACAATGTTGAAAAATAATTATTTTGTTTTTTTTTGCGCCTTTCAGAGTTCACACTCTACGACTATATTGCTTATACGGGAAGGTAGATTATTGGTTCTGCCTATTTTACCTATATCTACCAATAGTAGAATTTGTGTTCTACTACATGCTCTGTAATCTATATTTTCGTAGAATATTTCTTACTTTCTTCCACTATTTACACAAAAAACAACCAAATTCAGAATACGCATTCTACCCGTCTCTATATCTTCTACCGTATTCAGAATATAAATTCTGTTACATTATATGTCATCTACAGAGTGTAGAATGTGGTTTCTGCAAAATTAATTTTAAAATTCTTTAAATCTAGGATCTAAATATTCTATTTTTCTAAAATAGAGTTTTAGAAAATATTTTACCTATACTAAATTTTTGGTCTTATTAATTGTATTTCTTCTAGATTTTGAACTGTTACTTATGTAGGAGCTCGAGGAGTTTTGCATCTGGTGCAAGAGAACCGTATGATGGCTGATTGCAAACTTTACTCAACTTTAATATCAAGTTGTGCTAAAAGTGGGAAAGTTGATGCAGTATTTGGCTGCTTCTTTGGAATCTCTATTAGCATTATGAAACATGATAGGTCTCTGGGTCACATCATTGATATTAGTATAATGCTTGTCTGAATGGTGTGGTATGTTATTCTTGGTCTACGTATCTGTTATCTAGTCAAGTGTCAAGTTTCAAGTGTCAAGTTGTGAATGCAATTAAGCTCCACAATTTGTTAGCAAAAAAAAAAAGTTAAGCTTCACAACTCTCATTCTCTTAAATTCTCTAGACTTTAACCTAGTTTCATATTATGACTGCAACTAAAATCAAAATTATTTAGTACAACTAATAGATGAGTATTTGGCACAATACTGAACCAGGTTAGTACCAGCATTCGTTGGATTTTTCGACTCATGCTACTGAGTACATATTAATCAAAGTTGAAAGTCTATTCATAATTATTCTCCAATATTTTATAATCTATTATATAAAGGTACTCCAGAAGTCTATACCTTTTTTTTTAACTTGTTTTATAAATTCTTTTTAAAAATCAATAAAACACTTTCGTTAATATAAATCAAAGTTAAAAATAAGATTTTCTGAAACTAAAAATAGACATACTTATAGAGATAAAAGTGTATTGGAACATTATCAACTTCAATGTGTCATAATTTTCTAAATTTCTCTTTTTTGTATTGTTAACTCGTACTTTATGATAAATTTATTTGGGTACTAATGGTTATTAGATACTATTGACTTTACGGTAAAACATTTTAAAAATGTGTATTCAGCATAAAACACATGTTTTAAAGTTTAATAGTAAAAAATACCACATTTAACACATGTGTTGCAA